CAGACGGGCAGGGCTGCGTGGTGTAGAGCACACAGAGGCAGATGGCAGGTGAGCGTAGTTACATGCCGTAGAGCACACGGAGACCGAGGGTGTGTGGGCATGGTTGCGTGTCGTAGAACCCACGGAGAATGAGTCTAGGCAGGCAGGCTTGGTCGCCTGGCATAGAGCAAGCAGAGACTGAAGGCAGGCGGGCTTGGCCGTTTTGTACAGAGCCTGCGAAGACTGAGAGTAGGCGGGGGGGCTTGGCCACGTGGCGTAGAGCAAGCAGAGACTGAAGGTGGGTGGGCTTGGCCGCATGTGGGAACGTGACTGGCCCTGGTGCGTCACCTGGTGGCCACTGGAGCCAAAGAAAACTGTTGTTTTTATGAGAGCCTAGCAGAACAGAGGTATCAGGTAACTGATGGGGAACAGGAGCACTGTTTTCGCTGCTGTGTGGTGTATTCAGCATTAAGGCCGGTCGACCTCATGCCTGCTCAGTCTGTGAAATAAACCTGAAAGAGCACAAAACAAAGGTCCTTTCAGCAGCTCTCTGGCTTCATTCTGCCGGCCTGCAGCAACACACAGCCACATGATTTGCTAGACAACGCCTGCCACATGAGCCCGGCCCGCTGTCTCACAGCTCCCCTTTTCTTCCCGGGTGAGACAAGGTGAGCGGTTTATTCCATAGAGCCAGGCTTTCCTCACTCTGCACGGTTTGTCACGGTTTTGTTCCATAGCTGTAGGACCCCGGCGTGAATGCTGGCCGTCGTTTCGGTGTTGGCCCGGCAGCCTCACGGATGTAAGTTCTGGAACGGTCTGCTGTCTTTTAGAGTTTGTCCTTCCATGATGTGGGGAAGAAAATCTTGTTTTCACTGTGTGGGGACAGCGGAGAAGCCTGGGAACTGAGCCTGGGACAGCACACGCCCGTTCTCTGGCCCTGGGCAGCGGTTTGGGTCTCCCTTCAAGAGGGAGGCAGTGACAGAGGAGCGGCAGTGGCCATAATGCGAGAAAGGCGTTGCTGTGTCTGTTTATGGGAACCATGCAGGGAACTCAATCACCTTTTCTTCTCTAGGGAGGATACATGCTCTCAAATCGTCCCAAAATACATGGGTATTTTCTTTCTTAAGGATTTCATTTCTTGCTTTTGTTTGATGTCGCAAGTGTGCCAGACCACCTGGTCTTCTGGATCAGAACCAGGCCATAAGCTGAGACAGTCTGAAAGTTCTCCGGACCTTTAGATAAATGTTCTGGTTTTTTTGGTTTTTTTTTTTAATAAAGTGGCAGCTTTTACCAAAGAACAAAGAAGTGCTTTTGATGTCCCTCTAGAGTCCAGACCAAGCCGCGGTCATGACTATGGTGCTCTTTCCATAGCCAATAAGGTCTTTCTAGTGATAGACTACATTCCTTGGCATAATGATGTCACCCATTATGCCATACAGATGTGTCAAGCTATGGACTCCCCCTCGCCCATACCTGCCCTGTGCTCCCAGATGTCTTGAAAACCACTCTGACTATCCTTGACAATCTTCTGTAGCCTCAGAGGCTGAACCAGATGGTTGCATTTCCTTTATGGGTAATTCCGTGTCAAATTAACACACTTTTGGACCTCATCGTCACAGATTTTAAGGAAACCTGGCATGTTGACTTGATCATATGAATAACACATGGAAATTGCACGTGTCAATATTAAGGGAGATATAAGATGACAAAGTTTGAACTTATTGGGGGAGCGCTTTGTTTTGAAGGCTGTATCCCCCTTAATATGAGTTGCACAGGAATAGCTCTCATATAATTTTAAAGCTCTATTCCAGCTCTATATTTTGCATAAATACTATAGTGAAACTTTAAAATAGGTTTTTTTTTTTTTACTCAAGCTAGCTTATAATGTCATGAACATCTCCAGAAAATCCCATCTAGTTCCTGTGTAATCCCATCTAGAACATCTCCCATCTAGTTTCAGTTTAGTTTTTTTGTGCATTTACAGCCTTTCTCTGTGCAGTTCAGTTTTCTTGTGGGTTGAGTTTGGCCCCTGAAACCATGTGATGGATAAGCAACTGCAGCAAGGATTATATTGTGAAAAGTGTTACAGTAACATAACAGGAAATAAGTCGAGTCAGGTTTCTGTTAACATTCCGGAAAGAAATCAAATCTGGGTTCATTTGCTCAAATTCCTGTAAGAGCTGCTTCTTTCTGACGTCACTGTGTTCTGCACAGGATAATAGGCACATAACAGCCTTCTCCTCCAGCAAGCTACATTGTCCCTTCTTCCTGCACTCACTCGCACACTGACAGAGAAAGCAGGCCACCCTCTCTGATAGCCTTCTCCTCCAGCAAGCTGCATTGTCCCTTCTTCCTGCACTCACTCGCACACTGACAGAGAAAGCAGGCCACCCTCTCTGACAGTGAAAGCAAGCCGTCCTCTCTGACAGTGAAAGCAGGCCGTCCTCTCTGAGAGAGAAAGCAGGCCACCCACTCTCTTACAGTGAAAGCAGGCCACCCTCTCTGATAGCCTTCTCCTCCAGCAAGTTGTATTGTCCCTCCTTCCTGCACTCACTCTCACACTGACAGAGAAAGCAGGCCGCCCTCTCCCTGACAGGGAAAGCAGGCCGCCCTCTCTGACAGTGAAAGCTGGCCGCCCTCTCTCTGACAGTGAAAGCTGGCTGCCCACTCTCAGACAGTGAAAGCAGGGTGCCCTCTCTCTGACAGTGAAAGCTGGCCGCCCTCTCTCTGACAGTGAAAGCAGGCCGCCCTCTCCCTGACAGGGAAAGCAGGCCGCCCTCTCTGACAGTGAAAGTAGGGTGCCCTCTCTCTGACTGTGAAAGCAGGCCACCCTCTCTCTGACAGTGAAAGCTGGCCGCCCTCTCTCTGACAGTGAAAGCAGGGTGCCCTCTCTCTGACTGTGAAAGCAGGCCGCCCTCTCTCTGACAGTGAAAGCTGGCCACCCACTCCCAGGCAGTGAAAGCAGGGTGCCCTCTCTCTGACTGTGAAAGCAGGCCGCCCTCTCTCTGACAGTGAAAGCTGGCCACCCACTCTCAGGCAGTGAAAGCAGGGTGCCCTCTCTCTGACTGTGAAAGCAGGCCGCCCTCTCTCTGACTGTGAAAGCAGGCCGCCCTCTCTCTGACTGTGAAAGCAGGCCGCCCTCTCTCTGACAGTGAAAGCTGGCCACCCACTCTCAGGCAGTGAAAGCAGGGTGCCCTCTCTCTTACAGTGAAAGCTGGCCGCCCTCTCTCTGACGGTCAAAGCTGGCCACCCTCTCTAACAGTGAAAGGGCGGCCAGCTTTCACTGTCAGAGAGGGCGGCCAGCCTGATGGAAAACACTGCACTGAAGGTGCTGCACCATTAGCTTGCAGATGCATTTCATCCATCCATCCATTTGCTGCTTATGTAGTACAGAGTCACCCTGAGCCATTCATCCCTAGAAAAACTGGGCAGCAAGCACTCTTGGTGTGGGCAGTGGTGGCTTAATGGTTAGGGAAGCACACTTGTAATTGAAAGACTGCTAGTTTGAATCCCTGAACATCAAGGCACCACTGAGGTACCCTAAGCAAGGTACCGCCCCCAAGCACTGCTCCCCGGGCGCTGAATTAACTGTCCCCTGCTATGTCACATATGGGTTAAATGCAGAGGACACATTTCTTTGTGGTGTGTCAACAATGACCACTGATCACCTAATTCTATTCTGCAACACCAATCAATCACATGCTACATAGGCAATTTAGGGATTCCAGTTTATTTTTTGAATTGTGGGAGGTAACTGGAGTACTTGAAGGACTCCTAAGGTTTCTTACTTTTGTGGAGTTTTTCCTTGCTACCGTCGCCTCTGGCTTGCTCACTGAGGACTTTGGGCAGGGATAATGTAAAATGCTTTGAGACAATGTATTGCTGTGAAAATATGCTATATAAAATGAAACCTTTGGCGCCCATGAGCCCATTGTCAGATTACCGGTTGACCTTTCCTGGACCACTTTTGGTAGGTAGTGACCACTGAATTGACTGTTCATTTGCCTAATATATAACGGACAGGTGCCTTTGTAATGGGGAAGTCGATATTACTCACTTCACCTGTCAGCAGTTTTAATGTTATGCCTGAATGGTGTATATACTCTGAGATGTCACGGTGTATATATGGTGTATATATGGTGTATATACTCTGAGATGTCACGGTGTATATATGGTGTATATACTCTGAGATGTCACGGTGTATATATGGTGTATATACTCTGAGATGTCACGGTGTA